TTATGCGTCATTGACAAATAAAAGGTAGATGTTTATACATCCACCAGTTCACAATTGACTAAGTATGTTTAATTGTTTCCTAAAAGCAAATACGTTACAGTTTTGAAAGCGTGCGAATCTTATTGACATCAACAAAGCTCTCGCATTGTCGTTAATGTATCTTTGAAATAGGGTTAAAAGCTAGACACCGTCCCGCGTAACGAATACAGACGTATTCGCCTTGAAAAGATAGTTTAATCAACCCTTTCATCTGAACAGCGTTCCTGTCGATCAAGGCTTGAGTATTCTATCTTTTGGTGGTTAAAAATTCAACTAATGGCAAAATAAAGTTACATTCATGGATTTTCCATAGCATTTACGTCCACTATCGATGGAGGTCACTTTTTGTTTCAAATTAAAGTTTCGACTTGGCAAACAGTATACCCATGAGGTTAGAATTGTATTCAAAAGAAGCAGGGGCATAGCGATGGTTCAGGCATTACGGGGGGTGGGGGGTTATCAGGATAGGAGGGGAGATACGAATTTTCACGAAAAATGAAAAGCTGAGGGATCTGGAAGGGGTCCTACATGTATATGATTTTCTTTTCTCTTTCCCGCCCCCCCCCCGTCTCTCTCGTCTCTCTTACCATGCTAATAGAGCTTTTAGGAGGGGGAAGTGTAGGGGGTATCCACCGAGTACGCCCTTCACTGAATGGATACGCCACTACATGTAGATTCATACCTCGCTCCATTGCAATCAAGGATAAGGGCGGGGGGGGGGGCAAGGTTTCCGTGTTGACACGGTATACTACTGCATAACTGTTTGACAACCACTGTGATATCGTGCACATAGCGGGTTCCATCAGTTTGAACAGGTGATTGACATTTATGTCGCAATAGAGCAACGAACACGTAAGAGCTCCTCTCTCGCTCTCGCACTAAACCAGACAATCAAAGTACATGTATAGATCTTTTCAAGAAATTACATTATTACATTTGGGGCTCTTCGAGACTATGTGTGTGTGTGTGGGGGGGGGGGGGGTCAATGTTCTATGTCTAGTGATAATGTTGACATCGCTATGTTCATGTTCCTTCACTTATAACAAGTGGGATTCTTTTATCCTGTCAGAAACTGAAGTACTCCAATTAAGGCTAAGTGTATTTTGTATTTGATGAATGCCTGAAAATACACGTATCTGGAGTGTTACTACAAACGTGTTTTAGAATTATCACCTTCATCTTACACGTTAGTTGTCCAAAATCATTTCAATTCATTTCCATTTATTGTATGTGTTGTGTTTGACCAGATGAGAATGCAAAATACTATACAGTAGGAGGCCCTTTGGGTGTGCATAACTTTTTACTGTTCATCAAGTAAAATCAAAACATTCCTTTATAATTTCCCCACTTCAAAGACATTTTATTTTTGGCGTTATTTCTCGAATACGAGGCTGATGTAAAGTCACACCTATACGCTGCGATGGGTTCTAAAAACTGGGTTTTTCATTGTCACGGTCACACTTAGAGTCAACCTTCTATCCAACGACAGTGCTAAGTGCTGAGACCACATGTAAAGATTCTGTCATTTCTTAATAAGTACATGACAATTTCATGCTGGGCACACACGAGGGTATCAAATATTGTTGTAATACTAATAGTATCTCAAGGTGTTATTAAGACAGTGAGTTAAATAAGATAATTAAACGACCACCTGAAGCTCTTTTTCCCCTTGTTTGGTGATTAAACACGATAAATATTATACCCATCCTCTTATTCCTGTCTTGTGTTTTTTTTTTCTTCTTATGTTTACCTTGATGTTTTTTGTGTTATGCTATCGGTTTTACAGTTTTACTCGTATGCTTGTTGTCGTCCTAGTTGAATATCTGCAATCAACTGTCTTATTGCTTGTTTGTTTTGTACTCTAATCTGTTAGATATTTATTTGTTTGACTATACATGTACATATTCATTGCCTTACTTCTTGCATTTGCAACGTTTTACATATTATTGTATAATTCACTGTATATTTATTGTTATTTTTATGTTTGTGCACCCCTTTGAAAATCAGCTGTGCTGAAAGGGCCATCCACCCTATGAAAGGGAAATGAATAAATAAATAAAATAAAGCTTGCCTGCTTGATTGGTGCCTTGTCTGTTCCAGACATTGGCGATTAAGGCTTTCCATCTCCTTCTATTTCTGGTTCTTTGTAATGTGATGTTGCTTCTCTTACCAGTCAACCAAAAGAACTTATCCATGTATTATAATGCGCTGCCCCCCTCAATTGTTCCTGTCAGTATCATGTTTTCTGTCACTTCTCTTTTCATAATATGCCCAACTGACTGAAGTTGTCTTTTCCTTATGATGTTAAGGAGGGATCTATCGACACATACCTCATTTAGTACTTATAATGTGCCATAAAATCCCGCTTTCTGCATGGACATCTTTGGTTTATTAAAGAATTTGCCATAGATTTATATAACATTGATTGCATTTTCGACCTGTGCCCTCTCTCTCTCTCTCTCTCTCTCTCTCTCTCTCGTGCTCTCTCTCTATCTATCTCTCTCTCTCTCTTGCTCTCTCCCTTGCTCTTTCTCTCTCTATCTATCTCTCTCTCGTCCTCTCTTTCTCTCTCTTTCTCCCTCTCTCTCTCTCTCTCTCCCCCTCAATCTCCCTTTCCCCTTTCTCTCTCTCTCTCTCTCTCTCTCTCTCTTCCTCTCTCTCTCTCTTCCTCTCTCTCTCTTCCTCTCTCTCCCCCTCTCTCTCTCTCCCTCTTAATTCCATTGAGCACGTCTTAATGGAACGGAAATAACACAGGCGTCAAGAGAGCCCCAAGTCAATTTTGTTGACTTGACCAACACCGAACGAGACCGAACGAGACCAACGAGACCAACACCGAACCGATCACATACCGAACAAAAATGGTACCAAACCTAATCGCCAAGAATTGCACCGTTTGGGATCGGTGTTGAGTCGGTCTACCGGTGTGACTGAACTGTTACCCAGATGAGACACTGGTACAGAAAGCCTAGAGATATTTGTCACCGTCACCTAAGCTTTAATCTACCTGAATGAGAGCGTGTGTCTAGACTCCCTTACTCACCGAGGTATATGGTTATGCACTATTTCGTAGACTGTGGGGGAGGGGGGGGGGCATACCTATACATCGCCATCTTTAAAGGGGAAGTCCACCCTGATATTGAGTTGGCTTTAATGGAAGCAGAAAAATGAGAGGAACAGGTCAGCAAAAGTTGAGAAAAATCTGACAATTTGAAGCTGCGATCAATCAAACACGTGTTGGCAACTCTGTGACGTATCTTGCGAAGTCCCTTCCCATTTGCTATGTACTATAAAGCATTTATAACTTTAAATTTACCCTTTTAAAAATTCAATTGTTTCATAAAACCCCCCTGTACGGAACAAGTCTACTCCGTCATCAATAACTAAGAAAATGAAAGTTTGTGAAATGTTCTGTACGGAGAAAATTGGAGAGGACCTCACCAGGTACGCCACATTGTTGCTAATTCGCGTTTCACTGATGACAACTTCAAACAAAATTATAACTTTGTTTAAAAAAAAAGAAATCGGATTTTGCTTTAACCTTCACTGTCCCTTTTCTCTCATTTACATGTAGTCTGCTTCTGTCAAAAACTAACTTAATGGTGGACTTCTCCTTTAATAAAAATATACGGTTTTAATAAATTATTTGAAATGCCTCCAAAGCCTACGGCGAGAAAGGATAGGCCTCTTGCCACCTTTTTACTAGTATAGATCGAGACGATTTGCCTAGAAAGAATTCTACACACTATGCAACAACAGTACTGTCTTACAGTCGATCCCTCAAAATTAATCCCCAAAGTAGTCTCCCAGTCTATTTTATGTTTTATGTGCATCTTTTTATTTTCATGTACAATGTTTATGGTTATGCTGCATCTCAAAACCCATTTCATTTCTGTGCAAAACCCTCTCCTAAAGTTTGTTAACTCATGCTTTGTAGGTCGGTAATTCTATATTACCTCTTTCGTTATTCCGTTTGAAATAGGCAAGTAAAGTAACAGAGCGTGCTTAATTTCGTGTCCGAATGTGCTAGATATGGAAATAGGCTATATAATAAAAGTATGTGGCAAACATTCGAACCTAACTATCAGTGTATCATAATAAGGGACTACATTTTTCCCCGGTCAACGCATCACCCCTAAAAAGCACTTTCCCATCGATCGCTCTTCGTAACCCGGTATGAATTTCCATCAATACCCGTGTCGAATAATGGAACAAAATGTCAAATCGCCAATTGCTTGACAGATTTCCATTCGGTAGGGTGTATAATGCCTGTTTGAGCCCCGATGTAGTTCTAAATTAGTTTTGTCTGAAAGCTTTAGATCCCTGTCCAGTAAGCCGGGGACGTCTGGAAAAGAATCGGTAGATTAACGGGGTTACAGAAATAGATAGCGCATCGACTAATGAGTACATGTGTTATATGAACGCATCTACGAATTGTAATTGATTCGAATAAGCGAGGGGAAAGTGTGAGTATGTGAGTGTGTGTATATGTATGTGTGTTTGAGAGAGAGAGAGAGAGAGAGAGAGAGAGAGAGAGAGAGAGAGAGAGAGGGAGAAAGAGAGAGAGAGAGGGGGAGAAATAATCCTTGTGGTTCATTGAACTTACAGGCGGTCCAAACACAGGCTTTGTAGTTAATACAGACTGTCCATTCCCTATCCTGATACATGTACATACTAAATAATCATGAATTCAATTCAATTTCTTATTTCGATGTCATCCTTAATGCATATGCCATCTTAGTTAGTAGCATACGATCATGACAATAAATTCCATGATGGTATGATAGCGGTTGAGCGAAGCGAGCGAGCAACATGTTGTGAGAATCTTGTTCATACTGACTGGTCTTTGATGATGCATTGTCAAATTTCTCAAGGAGGGGAGATAAAAAAAAAAAAATACCAATGTGCTTATAGGCTCTACAGCTTTTCAAATTTTCTTCTTTTTTCGTTCTTCATTTCGACAGGTCCAGCCATTGACATAGGTATAGACATCGAGATAGTATCAATAAACAGCATTTCAGAAGTTAATATGGTAAGTAAAATGCATTTTGTTTTACATCTTTCATAATGTTGTTTACCAGGTTGATTCAAAACACGCACAATATTTAAGTTGTGTTTCTCCGTGGAAGCATTTGTCGACCACTTTAATAGGAGAGCAGGGAAGAGAGGAGAGAGACAGAGAGACAGAGAGGGAGAGAGAGGGGGAGTGGGAGCAGGGAAAGAGTTACAGGAAGGTAGGGAGAGATAGAAAATATGAAAAGGAATTATTCATGTTTCGACATAATCGATTCGAGATACATTTGACATATTCACAGCAATAATTTGTCGTTATTCATTTGTACTTTTAAGACGGGTATTAATATTTATCTTTTTTCTCTTTAAACATTTCACATTTGGCACTCGTGATCTTAACTGTCTTTTAATTCCCATTATTTCCTCTCTTCTTCCTCCTTGTTCTTAGCATTCTACTTCTTTTTATTCCTTTGAAATGTAATGGGTTACCTCCTAAAAAGGAAGCAAGAAGAATAGTTTTTTGGGAAATTTGCGAGTTTTGTGATGTTTTTCTTAGAAAAGCTTTTCAAGCCATTGTTGGACAAGGTCCTTTGCATGATTATAGCATCTTGTAACACGATGTAGATATTTTCCCGGGATTCCTGCTACGGATACTTTCGGAGAATTACACCCGTGTTCAATTTGTGCGATAAATTTGTACTTCATGCCACTAAATTCCATTTTTTCCACGTTCATGTTGACATGACAAACAATGTACTTCATTGATCATTTCCAAGCCAGGGCTCTTGCGATATAAGTTTGCACGAAGTACAGAAAAGCATACACCACTGCTGACGATATGGATTGGGTAGCAAAAACTAATTAAATGCTCTCAACGCCAGAATATAAAACTGATACGCCCTTTTGTCTACCAAGTGTAACGGTCGATGAGCATGCATGAGATCGGGTGAATGAATAAATGAATGAACGCACGTGTTATTTTTCGTTAACAGGCTTTGAAAAGCAAGTGGGTTGAGTTTATTGGTTGGATAAAATGTACCTAAGTGCTCTGAACATGGTAAGGATGATACATGAAAATGTTTAAGATGCAGTTCCAATTCTTAATGTATTTATCTAGTTGAGGTTGTTGCTTTGGTGAAAGCGCGCCCTTTTCAGAATCACTTGTAAGTGGAGGGGGGAAATGGGAAAATTCGATAAATGACAATTCTCTCTTAACATGTTTGACCTTTTTTTTGCTACACGTATAATTATTAATATATACATCAATGTCTAACACCTATTACCGACGTTGTGATGCTATTCATAAATAATAATTAATGTAGTATAAAGTCATCACAGATAGGCAATATTCATGACAATAAATTTACAATGGCGGAAACATTTAAGTTCATTTGATTGTGGTCCTTGCGATGTTACGAGGCACTGTGACAGCTATACGATGCATTATGCATAGGATATCTATTACACACCTGCATTCTATCAAGTCCATTGTGCAAACGTCTGGTATTTCATCTCGTGGACTTTATGAATAATGCGCATACAAGCTATTTACTGCGGTCTTCCTTTTTCACCCCCACTTTGGTCCCCTTTAGAAAAACCGGTGACTTTCACGAGCAGGTAACAATTCATCAACATGATAGACTGCTATTTATACATATCCCCCAGAGTCATGTTTTACCCATGCTTTAAGCAAGAATAATTCTCCTCATTAAAGTCCTAATCCATTACATGAAAATGCAGATGGACGCCCAAAGCCGTTTAGTCGTTCTTTAAATGTGTCTCGTTTTATTAAAGTGACAAATGGTCGTAAGTCTACAGTAAGTTAAACGCGGCGTATTTGTAATGACATACGATGTTAATTCTACAGGTAAAATTAATGCAGGTCGTTTGGAAGTTTACAAATGGTCGTCAGTTTAATGATTATGGTTGATTCGTTTGTTGAAAAAAGAGGGCAGGGATTAATCTTTCGGGGTAAAAGGAGCTTTAACAATTTGTCTCCTTCAGAATAACACAAGTTGCTTTGGAAGGCTATTATCATTACTATTCATTTTATTTAGAACAAAGTCCTCTTCTTCCTGTAACAGATAAGGAATATAATATTCTTGACATGAGAGCCTGTCATAAATTATCCTCCTATTAAAAGATACCAAATTGTAACAGCTAGATTATTATTATTATTTTTTTTACAAACTCTTGTTATTATATGTATGTATGTATATTTGTTGTTGTTTTCAAAAAGCAAAATGTCATAATCTTTACGAGAGGAAAAACGCGTTTCAGAAAAATCGGTTACCACTTCGTGCTCCTTGGTATTTTAACGTTGTGTAGGTTGAGAGAGTGAGAGAGAGAGAGAGAGAGAGAGAGAGAGAGAGAGAGAGAGAGAGAGAGAGAGACAGACAGAGAGACAGAGAGGGGACAGAAATAGATAGAAGGGGTTAATTCCCAGGTACCAATTCACAGCTGGGCAAACTGGAATGGATGGCTTTAAAGTAATCAATTCACAAGCCATTTCTGTGCGACGCAGCAAAAAAAGAAATTCATGGTTATAAGTAATATATACATGTATATTTCTCAAAACGGCAGCTTATTTTTGTCAGCTGGAGATCGATATATCAAGAGAGAAAATAGAACTGGGTTGAAGACAATTTTGGTAAGAGACAGCAGGGTTGACACCCTCCCAAAAAATATTACTGATACAGAGAACTAACTTGTGTCTTCATCTTCACTAAAACGATCAGTGAATCAATAATTGATTAATTCAATGTGAAATCACTAGTTAAAAACGATTGAATAAGAAATGCAAACATACAAGGAACTGGAAAATTGTATATATCATTTGTATTGTTAAAGGATGTATAAGGATGGTCAGTTTGTTGTTTGGTTTATTTTACCTGACTGCATATGTATGCTTGTAAGTAAGCAGTCAGGGGACTGGCAGCTTTAAGTCCTCTTCGAGGGACTTGGTAATGAGGATTAATACCTTACCAAAGGACACTGGCGCATCGACTAGGGTTTTGAACACGGGACCTCCCGGTTTCGAGACCACTGCCCTACCACTGAGCCATCGTGCCTCCTAGGTTAATTTATCATTGGCTTGGTTTTATTTATGGCGTTTCGTTGACTTCTTTTTATGAGTTTTTCTTAAACATTGAAAACATTCTTTTTGTTTCCCCATCTCACTGTGTAATATAATTGTATATTACGACAGGTAGTTGTTTTAACAGGTGATAGTTCTACATTTCAAATAAATGGATATTGCAGAATAATTACATCTAACTGCACCCTAATTTTAAAGTAGAACAACTAATCAGAATAAATATTCATGAAAGCAACACGTGTACAATAATTGAACATTCATTAGAGCTTCCGTATTTGAAGTAGGGGTAATGGAGGAGGGGGCAGTTGCCCTTCTTCACAGGTTTTTTATCAAGAAAATGAAGTCAAAGTATTAGCAGATTTCATAACCTCTAATTTGTAAGGTAATTATGGTAGAATTGCTACATTAGACATGCACGAAATATACTCAAAAATCTACTGCTTGGTCGCAAACAATGAGGTTTAACATCGGTTGGGCGACCCCCCCCCCCCCATGATGAACTACATGCGTTACTTTATTGCGATAAGCTCTTGTTGTTAGCCCCTCCTAAGGGTCATAGTCTGGATGCGCCTCAGACTTCTAGTCAGTATGGGAAAGCGATAACTCTCGTAAAGTCGAAACATAAGACAAAGTCGAACATGAAACTAACCCGATTTAGAATACAGAATGAGCTGGGATTGAATATCCAGGCCGCTGAATCACATGCTAAAGACTTTGAGTAATTGCTAGGTAACATGACGAGGAAAAAGATTTTTGCCCGTGTCACGTTTAGGTTTTTTTTCCCCCCAAGACGAGACGTGTGGATAATGACGCGCAATTAGCCCGTATAAGTGTGCTATATAGCATGGTAATGTCGTTTCGCATTTCAGCTTCTCGACCAACTTGACAAATCTAGAAAGATATCAGAGAAGGACCGAATCAGGATGAAGAGCATATCTGGTTCTAATGGCGTAGCGTCTGTCACGGGGGGGGGGGGGGAGGGGGTGGGGGATCGATCCCCCAGATACCGAATCAGACGTTCATTTAATTAATTGAACAGGTTCTATCTTGCCTTCTTTCAATCGTCTTTAATAGTGTTTGTCATGATATTCACCCTCCTTATTCCCTTCTCTATCCATCTCATTCTTTTCCTAACCACCTTTTTTTTTTTTGGGGGGGGGGGGGAGGGTTGGGGCATGAGCCCCTAATATTACGCTCCCATTTAATACTCATATTTCAACATGATCCATGTCAACACACGCTCAAGTCGCTATTTGAAAATTGCTGCTCCTACTTGACGTAACAACATGATCATTAGGGACTTTTAGATTTGCACGTCGACAGCTTTGACTGCAACATGTGACGTCATTTTAAGGCACTGCGCATGCGTCACGTCGTCTCAGTCGCTGATCGAGAATGCGTCAACCTTGATTTTCCTAAATCTAGTACGGTACTAGTATATGCCGCGTGCGCATAAATTATACAGTTCCTCAGGTAGACAAAGGAACATCCCTTCCCTGCTATTTATGTAAAAATGTGTAGAACAGGTGTCACATGCATATTCACCTGTTCTACACATTTTTACATAATAGCAGTGAAGGGATGTTCTTTTGTCTACCACAGCAATTGTTGAGGGTAGAATGAGGAACTGTATATTTTGTCCTCTTTCTTTGTCCGTGATGTTCATATTTTTACTTTCTACATGCATGTGTATCGTCGAGTGCAATCTAAAAAAAATCTAATTGTAGTCAACATGGGCAGTTGAGTATGTTGACACGCATGATCAGTCGGCGTTCGTCGTGTTCTCGTCCACTCAATCTAAAAGTCCCTAATTTGACTTGAAAAGCGCGACTTCATATTTGTATATGGCATAATAGCTAAATAAGGCAACAGCTGATTGAGCGCTTCTGTAAGACTATCTGCACTGGTTTGCCAAGGAGACA